ATGACAGGTGTGCTCCACCATGCTTGGCCGAGAACAAGTCTGACACAAGCGAGTCGTAACGTGGATTATCTCTACCACTCTGCCCTTCCTCTCCCCCTCTACTGACAGCTTCCTCATGCCTCGGGGTGGTGGGCAGATTCGGGGCTGTAGATGACTTATAAACCCTAATTCTGAAAACTTGTCCTGGCCACCACGAAATGATGGCCTGCAAATGTATCTACAGACACCATCTCAGCAACCCCGCCAGAAATCATGCTACTAGCCCCTTTCACAGATGACTAAACTGAGGCTTACACTTGCCCAAGTCTGCACAGCTAGTCAGTGGCAGCACCAGGAGTCAAATCCCAGGTGCATCTGACCCCACAGCACGTCCTGGTCCGGCATAAAAACGACCCGGAAGCATTTAGGAAGTGCAGATTCCCAGCCCCACACCAAACCTACTCTTGGCATCTGGGCTGAGTCCCAGGAAGCTGTATTTTTTTAAAAGCAAGTTCCCCAGGTGAAGCTGAGGCCACCACCCTGAGGACTGGCCCTCATCAGACCACACTGCCTTCCTAGGAAACAGCAAGGCCCTACGTAAGGGACAATAAAAGGCAGCCACCGTCACCAGCCTTCCTCCTCATCAACCTTACACCATCCATCACAGCGGCTGACAGGAACTGCGAGGAGGGCAGACATCGAGGCGGAAGCACGGGAGGTCTTTACTGAAAGATGCGCCTGCCCCTCAGGGACAGGCTTCATGTGACACCCAAGGGACCCTAGATGGATGAGGCCTCCCAGACCGGCCTGCCCTGCAGCAGGGGGACAGAAAGCAGGCAGAACTGTGGGTGACATGGGGTCGGGGATGTGTGTCAGTGCTGTCGTATCCCACGGTGTCCCTGAAGAAAGCTGATCCACAGCACTTGTCCTACACACTTGTCCTATTCTCCAGAAAACTGCCCAGAACCGCAGGTCGAGTGGCACTCCGTTCGGCCAGTGGAGACAATGGCTTAGGCGGCAGGGGCCTCAATGATTCGCCAGAGGCGGCAGTGACTCAGTCCCCTCCCCTCCTCGGGGCCTGCCTCCTCCGGGACTGGACCAGCAGGTCAGGAGACAGAAGTGTCCAGCCGCCAAACAGAAGGCCGGCCCGCTCATCAGGCGAAGGTCAGAGGCCAGGCTCAAATAAGCTCAGTCCCCTCGCCTTCCCCTCGGGTCACCGAAGGGCCCCTGAGACCCTGCCACCTGGCCGGCACGGGAAGTGGCCCGGGTGCAGACAGATTAAAACAAATCCAGCACCGCTTCTGCAAAGGGCCATCGGGTGGCCAGCGACGGGCGGGGATCCAGCGACATCTTGGGTCTGAAGGACACCGCATCAGAAGTGACCTCGAGACGCCTAATCAGTTCCAGAAAAGCGCTTTGTTCTTCTGCGCAAGGTGGGAGATCAAAGCCTTTCTCGCCAACCACCATGCAGCATTAATTACTCGTTAAGTAAGCCGACCAGGGTCAGACCCGGCTCTGGCAACCTCGGTGAGCACCCTTGATCTTTCAACCCATCCTGCACACAACCGGGAGGAAGCCGCCTGCGAACCTGGGAACCGGAGGCCGGGGCAGCCGGCAGCCGTCTTTCGGTTACTCCTTCCTTTCCTGTTAACTTTTTAACCCCAGTGGCAGGAAGCGCATGCACACGGCACCAGCCTCCCCTCCCCCAGCCGCGTGTCAGTGGCTTCTCACGAGCGCCCGGAGAGAAGGGGAGACAGGGCCAAACACCCCACTGGTGCAAGCGGCGTGGCCTCGGGCGTGCCCTCCGGCCCCTCTGAGCCACCTCAATCTCCCTCTGAGGACCAGGGTGGAGAATCGTGCACCTTGGGCTTCCGCTAAGGATGAAGGAAAATCCAAAAACAGTTGCAGAGCCAGGAAGTGGATCCACGGGAGGGTGCTCACCCAGCTCTGCCAGAAACCACCTCAAAACCCCTCCGCCACTGTTCCCCGTGTTCCCCGCACCAGAGCCAGAGAGCAGAACCAGCCCAGCCAGCTGTCCCCAGGGGAACCCAAGAGCAGAGCAAGGGAGGGGAAAGCAGGAAAGAAAAACAACGGTGCTAGTGCTAGACACCTGAGGGCGTATCATTCGACCATAGAAAGAAAAACCGATCAATGGTACAGCAAGAGAACCTCGAAAACACAACGCCAAGCAGAAGATCACATATTCATTTATGATTCCGCCGTAAGAAACATTCAGAGCAGAGGGCCCCTGAAGGCAGCAAGTGGGCAAGCAGTTGCCTGGGTGACAGAGGAGAAGGCCGGAGGAAAGGAGGGCTGAGGCTTGTTTCTTTTTTTGTTTCGTTTTGGTCTGAGACAGGGTCTTGCTATGCCGGCCTTGAATTCACTATGTAGCCCAGCCTGGCTTCCAACTCAGAGATCCTCCTGCCTCAGCCTTCTGAGTGCTGGGATTACAGGTGTGTACCACCACACACACCTGTTTATTTTATTTTATTTTTTGCAGTGCCGAGGATAGAACCCAAGGTCCGACACGTGCCAGGCAAGTGCTCTACCAGTGACCTACCCGCAGGTCGACGGATGAGGTTTCCTTCTGCGGGTACAAAAATGCCCTCACCATAGCTTAGGGAGATGGCTGCACGTGGGAAGTGCTGCTAAAACCTGAGCGCTCTCCCCGCTCCCACCCTGGCTGAGGCTCTAGTGAGCCCTGGGCCATGCTGAACTGCGAACCCTAGGCCTGGATGAGCCACCTACCACAGGGTCTTGGACAAGGTTGTGACCCCAGGAGCCGGCTCCATGAAGAGGGTCCTTAAAGAGAGGCGCATGGGTTTGGTTTTAGTTTAAAGGGGGGAGGAATAGAATCCCCAGGGTGGGCTGGGCTCTAGAGCAGACAGGTTCCCGAGGCTCCCTCCATTCTGAGATGACACTTCTTCCTTGGATTTGGGGGCAGTACGAGTACTCCAGGTCTTGGCAGTCAGCTGCATCCCCAGCCACTTTCTTATTCTTCTGGGAGTCCCCCAGGTCACATTGGCCAGACTGGGTTTGAACTGGTGATCCTCCTGCCTCAGGCTCCCAGAGCCCTGGGATCACAGGCGTGTGCCTGCACGCCTGGCTGTGAGTTTGTCTTCTCAAAAGCCTGTGTTCTAGCTGGGGCGTGGCGGTGCAGGCCTGTAACCTCAGCTACTTGGGAGGCTGAGGCAGGAAGATGGCAGGTTCAAGCCAGCCTGGGAGCTCAGTGACACAGTCCTTGCCTCGCACGCACAGGGCCCTGGGTTCGACCCCCATAACCACCAAGAAACTCAGTAAAACGAGCCCGAGGTCTGCAAACCCCAATACGTCCCCAGGGGCCCCTCCTCGCTGGACACAAAGCAACTGAGAGGTGAAGCCTTACTTTCCTCTCCGGGTTCCCCGCTGCCCTGCCCCCTGCTGCTTGGTCTCCGGGCTCCGGGTGAAGAGGTAGCACTTGGGCTGTGACAAGGGTCCCGGCACCGCTGCACGTGGAAGGAAGCCAGCTGCCTCGCCCAACCGTCCCTTGACCGGGGACTACGTGCAGGGGACCCCTCTGTGGCTCCTTCCTCCACCTCTGTCCCCACCGAACTTCAAAGAGAATGCAACACCCACTGCATGGGTGCCCCTGCCCCGGGAATTCCACATGGAGGAGTGCACGCCGGTGAGGGAAGCAGACCCAAGAGAGCCATCCGAAACAGTGCTGGTCTGGAGAGGTACAGCTGAGTCACACAGGTAGTCTTTCTGTTTTGCTTTTTTGTTTTTTGAGACAAGGTCTCACTATGTAGCCCAGGCTGGCCTTGAACTTGTGGCAATTCTCCTGCCTCAGCCTCTGAGTGCTGAGATTTCAGGTGTGTACCACCATACCCTGGGGTGTTTTTTAATGATAGCAAAAAAAGAGTCTACAATTAGCAGAATATCCAGCAGGACTCCTTAGGCGACAACTAACTTTATTTTCGGTTTTGATGCTGGGGGTTAAGCCCAAAGCTAACCACATGCTCTACCACTGACCTACAAATAGAAGGCTGAGCAGGGGTCTCCCCCACGGGTTTCCCCGTGTTAGCTCCCTCGGCCCTCACAACCACTTAAAGCCAGGGCCACAAACCCTTTTACAAACAAGGAAAATCAGGTTCAAAAAGCTCATGTAAGCCAGATGTGCCGGCATAGGCCTGTAACCCCAGCACTCAGGAAGCTGAGGCAGGAGGATCACTCAAGTTCACGGCCAGCTTGGACCACAAACCGCAAAGAAAGCTCATGCAAGTTGCCCAAGAAAGTGGTAAAGCTGACTGTAGACAAACACAAAGGCATGGCAGCTAGATGGTGGCTATGTACACTTGTACCCCGCAGGGCTGCTGACCACGCCCGACAAAACACCAGCACTTCCCCGCCCGGGGGAGCCGCTCTCCGCCGTCAACCACGCTGCCCTGAGTACTCTGCTTCTGCTCTGTAAGTGACCTCATTTCTTAAGCCCCAGTTTTCACACTGTGCAAGAGTCACAGCTGCCTCCCCTAGCACTGCTGGCGTCTAAGCAAGGTAAGGGAGGCGGGGTTAGGCCGGAAGTTACTCCCCGTAAGCCCTCCCCGACGTAACTATCATTGTTCCGCCGAGGGTCTGCGTCCTGCCTTTTTATGTTGACCACGGATGAGATTTGCAAAGGGAAAGAAGTTACTTTCCCCGCAAAAAAGAGGAAAACAGTCGATGGAGCAGTTGAAGGAGAAGGGAGGAAGGAAGGAAGGGAGCAAAAGAGAAAATCCGCCTCATGAACAAGGCGGGGGACATCACTCCGCCACAATTACCTAGGTGACCACCAGGGGGCGCTACTCGAAGCCGCAATAGCAGCTGGGTAAAACAAACTCTTAAAAAAAAAAACACTAAAAACTTGCAATGAACATATCACTGAAAAATTTCGCCTTAACTGGGGAGCTCACTCCCAGGCGCCCCCCAAGAGCGGCGACATTCGCTTATAGGAGGTGTACAAGGCAGGGGGAGCCGCCTCCCCAGGCCAGTGGTCCACCTCTTACCTTTGGAGCCTTCTTTGGCCAACTGACCACGGGGACCCCGGTAATGGCCAGGCTGGGGTCGTCCTCCGCGTGCTCCTTCAGGACGTTCTGTACCAAACAAAGGAGCTGTGTTAGCCCAGGGCGCAGGCGAGCTTCTGGAAGGACAGACAGCACCCTTCCTGTGACGTCCACACGCAACACCCACCCACAGTCGGACACCTCACACGCACACAGCCTCGCCTACTTTTGCAGCAGCCTTCCCTCTGTGGCCCCAAATTCTCCAGAACCCTGACCCTGTCTCTCCTTCAACCTGAGTGCTATGTGTACCTGACCCCAGCTGCATAAAGACATGGGTTTGGTCTGGTTCAGTTTCTTGAGAGTCTTGCAATACAGTTTCCGGCATGGAGATCCTCCTGCCTCAGCCTCCCAAGTGCTGGGATGACAGGGGTGGCCTGCCAGGCCCAGCTGTAACTGTGTTTCAAAACAAACCCTAAACACAAGTAAATCTGCGATCTGGTTTGACAGAGGACGGATTCATCAGGCCAATGCCGGCAGACAAGTAGACTATGATGGTTACACAAGCTAGGGATCACCCGCGTGTCACACTATGTCCATTCCTCCGAGAGCACTTGGTAGGGTCTTCATGGGTATCTGACTCCAGTGGACGGAGACCTTGTGCATGCGAGCAATGCCCCGCCACTGAAGTGTCCTCACTCGCAGCTGAGGTGATCACGGCGTGGAAAGTCCCAAAGCCTGCGATGCAGCCCCAGCACCCAGGTAAGAACCTGCACGAGGACACAAGCCTGGCACTGGCCTCCCCTCCACTTGGACCAGGAATCTGAGAATTGTACAAAAGCACTGTTTCAGGGACAGTTAAAAATAGAGCTGGGTATAAAGATACACCCCCATAATCCCAGCACTCGGGAGGCTGAGACAGGAAGAATGCCTGGAGTTTGAGTTTGAAGCCAGCCTGGGCTACATAAGGCAGTTTAAGACCAGCCTGAACTACATAGCGAGATGCTGTCTCAAAAAAAAAAAAAAAGGAATTTCAAGTGAAACTCGATCCTGAACTTACTATTTTGCCCAGGCTGGCCTCGAACTCAAACTCCAGACAATCCTCCTGCCTCAGCCTCCCGAGTGCTAGGAGTACAGGTGTGCACCACTATGCCCCACTTTGACTTTAATTATAATAATCAGTTGTAACAGATGCCTTGAACGTACTAAAATGTTAATACATAGTAGGGAAACTAGGTATGAGTGTGTATATTAGAACACTTTACTATCTGCTGCATTCTTCTATAATTTTAAAACTACTGTAAAAAAAAATGAACTATTAATAAACCAGGCATGGTGGCGCACGCTGGTAATCCCAGCACTTGCAAAGCTGAGGCAGGTGGATTCCCCGATAGTCCAAAGGAGCCTGGGCTACACAGTGAGTTCAAGGCCAGCCTGGACTACGTCACAAGACCCTGTCTCAAAAAAAAAAAACCAAGATACACAAGTGAGCTACCCTCATCTACTCCCTGAAGATCAGAGCCAAGAATGAGTTCGGCCACGCCCTCCACGGAAGGTTCTCGTCCCAACCACGGAGCATGCACACAGCCCAAGCCGCGTACCCGCAGGAAACTGTTTCGACGCTTCCTGGTTCCCCTACACATGCAGAGCTCGCACCCTCCCTCCCACACGGGGTTTGGTGCGCTCATGTTTCCTCCTTCCCCCAAAATTTATGAAGCAGTAAAAGGGCTCACCAGAAAGAGGTTCCGCGTGTAGCTAAGGTTTTCGATTCCTTCTTATCCACGCGCCCCATGTGCGGGGGAGCGGCCACACCTACCCAGGCCTTACGGTGTCCGAGCCCATCCAGTCCCCGGCGCGAGGCTGCGGTGACCACCTTAGCTTGCCCAGGACCAGGCAGCAAAGACTAAGGCAACAGGGAGTGGCGGGGTTTGTGGCGACCTGGAGGCCACAGCCCATCAGGGAAGGCACCCCACTCAGTTCCAGCCTCCTGCCTTCCTAAAGGAAGGAAAGCCCCACCAGAGCTTTTGGGTTCCTCAAAAGAAACCAGAGGCCTGGAGTTTCACTTGAAATCTCTGCTTTGTTTTTTGTTTTTGAGACAGGGCCTCCCTGTGTAGCTCAGGCTGGCCTTGAACTACTCACTTATGTAGCTCAGGCTGGCCTCAAACTCACAGCAATCCTCCCGCCTCAGCCTTCTGAGTGCTGGGATTACAAGTGTGTGCTACCACTCTCGGCTTACACTTATAAATGCTGGCGAACTAAAACTTTTAAAGAAACCACTGTGACCTGCAAGTACTGGGAGGCCAGTCTGGCCACGGTGTCCGAAGTAAACACTGCGAAAATCATCCTGCTCACTCTGCGTTCTTGCGAGTTTTCTTTCGAGCTGTTTCAAAATTTCTAGTCATTTCAATATCAGAGCTGGAGCCAGTAATTCACAAGCATTAATATCTGGTTACAGAAATTTATTACTGGTATTATCGGGGCACGGTGGTGCACACCTGTAATCCCTGCTTAGGAGGCTGAGGCAGGAGGATCGCTGTGAGTTTGAGGCCAGCCTGGGCTCTGTAGTGGGTTCAAGGCCAACCTGAATTGCATAGCAAGGCCCTATCTCAAAAAAATAAAAAAAAAGTTATTATGGGTATTAGCAAATAACGAATAAGTTATAATGACAATCTTTTTTAAAGTTTTGGCAGGGTCTCACTAAGTATCTCGGGCTGGCCTTGAACTCACTATATAACCCATGTGACCCTGCCTTAAGCAGCGCGTCTTTCTGTTCCTCCCAGTGGCCACCAGAGGGCGCCCAACGCTCTGCCTCCGGAAGAACGCTCCTCCGCGGGGTGGGGTGTCGGGTGTCCCGGCGGGAGGCTGTCTCCGAGCCTCCGCGGGGCGGGAACTGCTCCCCGTTCCCCCGGCCGCCGGCTCGCGCGCGCACGCGCGGAGGCCCAGGCGCACACCCGACACCGCTCTCCCAGAGGAGGACGAGGGCGGGAGCCCGGGCCGGCCCGGGCCTCCCTCCTCCGCGGAGCCCCCCGAGTTGACACATGCCCGGGTCCTGCTCCCCGGGGTGGGCACTCAGAATGAGAAACTCCCCGGGGTGAGCGCTCATGATGAGAAGCTCGCCGCGCAGAGACTAAAAATACCGCGCGGCGCCCCCACGGCAGGCGGGCAGCAGGGCGCGCTCGGCTGCGCAGGGGGCGGAGCGGGGGTGCCGGCCTCCGAGCCCGGCTCCTGACGCCGCCCGGGCGGCCTGCTGTGCTCGCCCGTCCCCCGGGTGTCTGCGTCCGGGGCCCCGGCCGGGTGGGGGCCGCCCCGTCGGTGTCCCGCGCGCAGAGGGCCCCACGCCGAGGCTCTACGCGCGAGCCCTGCTGCGCAGATTGTCGCAGATTGTCGCCGGTGCCATCTCACGGCGCGCCAGGGGAAAACGGCAGGCGCTAGACATCGGGTCCTAAGCGCTAACACCCGGCCGGCCGGGTGCTACGGCAGTTTCTCAGGAGGGACGCCAGTTTCTCAGGAGGGACGCCGGGGTGGGAGATCTCCAGTGCTAGACCAGCCTGGGTCACTCAGCGAGACTCTGTCCCAAAGTACAGACAAAAAAGGGGCCGGGGACATGACTCAGTGAAGTCCCTGTCTTTGTACCCATTTTACAGGGAGGATCCTCGGTTCGTAAGGAAGAACCTAAGTACTTCAGCAGGGCCAGATCTCCACCAGACCTGGTCCCGGAAGGACAAAACACATCGGGTCCGGTGCCCCGTTTACACACAGGTAAAGAGAAAGGTAAGCAGGTGTGGAGGCCGCACAGCAGGCAGCTCAGGGCTCCAGCCTCCTCCCTCCCGACTGCCCCTTCTCACTCATCGCACAGCTCAGGGTCCTGGGCCCCAGGGAGTGAGTCACCCGGGCCACCACGGGCTCAGAGGCCCTGGGCTGGCACTGGGGAGGGGCACCAGGGGCCAAGTCTCATCCCTATCTGACCAAGCAGGGGCGGAACGCCACATACAAACATGTCAGCCACAGAGGGGGCTTCTTAAAGTAAAAAGGGGTTTCCAAAAGCTCTTCAGGCAAATGAGTTCTTAACCCATTTATGAGAGCTGGGCCGGAGATATAGCTCAGCAGCACAGCACCTGCCTGGCAAGCACAAAAAGTCCTGAGTTCGATTCCTGGTACCAAATAAATAAATAAATGAAAGAGATTGGGGGAACCAATACTATTATTTTTTTGGTTGATGAAAATATCCTGCTTCCACTTCACAGGATCTCAGAAGGAAAAAGCAATCACAGACTGGGCGTGGTGGCACAAGCCTGTGATCCAAGCACTTGGGAGGCTGAAGCAGGACTGCCTGGAGTTTGAGGCCAGCCTGACCTACATAGCAAGACTTTGTCTTTTTTTGAGGGGCGCGTACTGGAAATTGAACTCAGGACCTTGCGCTTGCCAGGCAGGCACTGTACCAAGGACCTTGTCTTAAACACACACACACCACACACACACACACACACACACACACACTGCAACCACACGGTAGAATCCTAAAGGTTTCCTTGAGGAAATCTAACAATCCCCAGTACCACCAAGAGAAAACGTAGCCCAACAAAAGATGAGGGGAATCTTTTTGCTTTTTTGTCTTTTTGAGACAGGGTCTCACTATGTAGTTCAGGATGGCCTTGAACTTACTTTGTAGCCCAGGCTGGCCTCAAAACTCATAGCAATCCTCCTGCCTCAGCCTCCCAAGTGCTGGGATACAGCATGAACCACCATGTCCAGAGAGGGTCATAATCTTTCTAAAGCCCAGTGTTGGGCACAATATTTCCTAAATGAACAAATGAACTACTCCTTCCTGAAAAGGAAACAAATTCGTTTTGCAAGCCCAGCAGACAGCTGGTTCATCCTCTGGTGGAGCCTGGGTGGGCAGGAGCTGCAGAGTTGCCCTGGGGCTCAGCAAGCCCCGCACCCTCGCATCCTTGAGCTCTGTGGCCCAGGGAGCCCCTTTCGCGCTCAGCCTACTTCCTGCCCGGCTGAGCGCTGAGGAGGACGCAGCCCGCCGGACCCCAGGTGGCTCCTCGGGCCGGGACAAGCTGCTCAGGTGACACCACCTGCCACGGGGAGCCAGCCTGGACCTTTGAGTCCTGCTGACCAGGAGGAGACGCCTGTCCCCAAGGCCAGCAGCAGCACCACTGTCCGCGTCACCCCTGCCACAAGGCCGCGGGCCTCCAGCAGGTGCTGAGGAAGACCCCCACCCTCGAGAGCGCCGCCCTGCCCACCTTCACGCCCTCCAGGAGGGCCTGCGGGTCCTCGATGCCCTCGGGGACGCACTTCTTGTTCTCGGGGAGGGACTCGAGCTTCTCCACCAGCGCCTTCAGCCCCTTCAGCTCGAACTCGGTGAGGTGGGTCCACTTGGCCGACAGCTCGGCGGCGGGCGAGCCGGTGGGCGTCTTGGGGTCGTCGCCGGGCACGGTGGCCGACTTCACACTGTCCTCCGACTCGTTAGACAGAGTCCTCTTGAGGAAGCGCGCGGCGGGCACCCTGGGCTTCTTCCCCGGGCTCTCCTGCTCCTCAGCGGGGGCGCCCCCGGGCGAAGCGGGGCCGTCAGCAGGCTTGGGCGCCTTCTCCGCCCCGTCCCCCGACTCCTTCTCCTCCTCCTCCTCCTGGGGCTGCTGCTCACAGGACTCCTCCTCCATCTCCAGCCAGGAATCCGATGAGAAGCCGTCTACGCTGGCCTTTCGTGGGGCATCTGCACGGGCCGGGGCACAAGGCAGACGGGATGAGCACCCAGCTCCCGCCCCAGCACCCCGCAAAGCCGCATGAAGGTTCCGAGCCGGGCTCGGCTCCGTCCCAGCTGTGCAGCAGCCTGCCCCCCGACACACGCAGCGCTTTACTGAATGTATAAAAGAAGGCAAAAGCCCAGGCACGACATGCAAACCTGGGATCCCAGCTACTCAGGAGGCTGAGGCAGGAGAATGTAAAGTTTAAAGTCAAGCTGGGCAATTTAGCAAGACCTTGCACCAAAATAAAATTAAAAGGAGCGCTCAGGGCGCCCTGGTTTCAACCCCCACACCCACAAAAACAAGGCAAGTCAGAACCAGCACACGCTGCATGATACCTTTTTTTTTTTGCCTTTTTGAGACAGGATCTCACTATGTAGTTCAGGTTGGTCTTGAACTCACTTTGTTGCCCAGACTGGCCTCAAACTCAGGAGATCCTCCTGCCTCAGCCTCCTGAGTGCTGGGATTACAGATGTGCACCACCACACCCGGCTGAGATCAGTCATTGTAAACATCCCTAACTAGGAAACCGCTACACATAGAAAACAGAGGAGGGCGTGGTGCCACAGGAACCCAGCACTCTGGGAGGGTGAGTCAGGAGGATCATGAGTTTTAGCCCAGTCTGTGCAGCTTAATGATTTAATGAGATCCTGACTAAACACAAAAGATGAAAAAAGGACTGGGGCCGGGGACACACACAGTTTAGCGGCACAAGCGCCTGCCTGGCAAGCACAAGGTCCTGAGTTCGATTCCTGGGAGGGGAGGGCAGGGGAGGGGAGGAGAGAAAGGAAGAGAAGGGAAGAGAGAACAGACTGGGGATGTAGCTTAGTGAGAAGGCCCTGGATTCAAACCCCAGTACTGAGGAAGAATTTAAAAAAGAGAGGAAGTGGATTAATAGTTGCCCCAGGCTGGGCAGCGGGAGGGGCGGTGCAGAGGTAACAGCTGGCCCTCGGGAGATGAAAATGTTCTGGAAGTGACGGTGGGGATGACTGCACAGACCTGCGAGGAGACCGAACACCATGAACTGTACACTTTCAGCGGACAACTGCATGAGCGTGAGCTGTACTCCAATGGAGCGGGCTTTAAACACCAGGCCGCCGCTCAGTGGTAGCCTGCTTGTCTAGCACGCACAAGGCCCTGGATTACCCCAGCTTCACAAAACAGAAAGAGAGAAAGGACAGACAATACAAAGGGAGGGAGGGAGGGAAACGAAAAGCAAAGTAAAGAACACTTCCTCTGAGCTGGCACAGTGACAGACACCTGTAATCCCAGCTACTCAGGAGGCTGAGGCAGAAGGATCGCAAATTCAAGCCAAGCCCCGGGAACTCAATGAGATTCTGTCTCAAAATAAAATGAAGGGCTGGGGATATAACTCAGCAGCACAAGCGCCTGCCTGGCAAGTGCAAGGTCCTGAGTTCGATTCCCAGTACCAAAAAATAAATAAAATGAAATGAAAACGCTGGTGGGTAGCTCAGTGGTATGGCGCTTATCTGCCATGTGCAAGGCCCTGGGTTTCATCCCCAGCACTACAAATGAAACAAAACAAAAAAACCTTCCCCTGAAGGCTTCTGAGAAGGACACAGGACAATGCTACCAAGCTACTCCTGGCACCAAGTAGCATCCGATAAACAAGGGCGTCTCCCTAACACCGCCCCTTCTCCTGGGCAGGTGGACCAGAAGCACCAAGGGCAGAACAGGGGCAAGACAATGTAAGTGGGCACCAGCTACCCAAACCCTGCCTCAAGATTTCTTCTCTTGCCCTTGAATGGAACCAGGAACATTCTTCCGCTGCCCCGAATAACCAAGAAAGAGCACGAGCCCCCACTGCCCACCAGAAGAGCTGCCGTAAACCGCCCATCTTCCCACCCTGCCCAGCCTCTGGTCCCCACAGGAGCAGAAAGCTCCTGCCATTGCATCAACTCTCCTGCTGTTTCTGGGTGCCTCCCATCTCCCCTACTTAGCTGGAAGCCCCTGAAGAGCAGGTGGACGGTGTGCGTATTTCCCAATACCCCAATATCCCATCGTCTGAAGAAAATGAGTCTCACAGCAGCCCCCAACAGAGCTGACTTCCCAATGAAGGGCCCAGCAGAAGCGTCCCTTGCCCCCCTAAGCCCAGTGGGGAAGCCGAGGTCTCGGTGGCTGGGACGAGGAAGGGAGGGAAGGCGGCGAAGGGAGGGCGGGGCTCTGAGGAGCAGGGCTGGGGAGAGCCGCACCCCCCAAGGGGACAGACCCACCTCCCATCTGTGTCACGGGAGGACAAACACCCTGTGCTGCACACGTGACTCCAGGGAACCCCTCAGTGACCAGAGGGGAAGAGCCGCGTTCCTCCTGTACGTGCAGGGCTCACGGGCACGGCAGACGAGGCTCCAAGCCAGGCATCCGTGAGCCCAGCGCCAAGGACACAGCTGTGCATGGCAGAGGCAGCCAAGGTCGTGGGCACTGGTGCTGTCCAGCCCCAAGTTTCGGTGTCGGGGGGACCAGTAGCTGGTGACCACAGAGGGACAAGAAGCCCCAGGACTCCCCACCCTGGGAGATGGTCCTGCTTCAGCAACCACACACATGCGCAGCTCCTCCCCATATCTGCACGGTCACAGGCTTGGGCTGCAAACATGACCTATGGGGGTCTCAAGGTCCTTCTCCTAGACTCTGTTCCAGGTGGAAGGCTGACCAGGACAGCGCCCCCGAAGCCCAGCACCATGGCCCCAAAGAAGCCCTGACCAGGTGTGAGGATGCACACTTGTCATCCCAACACTCTGGGAGGCTGAGGCAGGAGGAGTTCAAGCCCAGCCTGGGCAGCTTTGTGACTTAGCAAGGCCCTGTCTCAGAATAAAACGTAAGAAGGGGGCTGGAGATACAGCTCAGGGAGAAGGCCCTTGGCTCAACTCTCAATACTCCCCGCACCCCTGCCACACACACAGAAAACAAGAATCCTCTGATTTGAGGCCTGTCCCCAAGCTGTGGGCTCGGCGCCATCACTCACCAATAAGCATGGGCTCTCTCTGGTACTCCTGCGTGAGGTAGGAGCGCTGGGTCACGCAGTACACATATCTCTCCAAGACATACCAGCACATCTCATAGTAGAAGGGGTACCGGAACTTGGGCTGCACCTGAAAGCCAAGACCAGGCAGGCACGGGTCAGCTTCTGGGGGCACCGGGAAGAGGGAGAGCGCGAGGGAGGCGCCCTGGGGCGGGTCACTGTCATCCTCTCAGCAAGGGCAGAGGGCGCAGGGGAAGATGGGGGGCTGCCGGTGGGGAGGCGGGAGCGGGCGCCGGGAGGAGACGATGCCAGCAGCATGCACGGATGAGGCGGAGGTGAAAGCCTGCATGAGGGACCCTGAGCTTCGCGCCCAGGAAGGAGGCTGGAGTCCACTCTGAGCTTCTGCCAGGGGCAGAGAAACAGTGTCTCTTCCCGACCTGCCGGCAGCGCTGCGGGTACCTGCAGGCGGGCACCCTGTCCGATTCCGGCCACGGCAGATAGCAGCCTCTCCTAGAATATTTTTGCACACTCTGCTGTCTCTCTATCTCCTTTGAAGAACAGAAATCTACCCCCAAACTTTATCCATCTGCTGACAGGCCAAGGAGCGTCCTCCTGCGCTCTGGGAGGGGGGCCAGGCCAACAGGGTGGGGGTGTGGCCTCACCTACCTCTGGGGCGGGGCCTCAGGCTGGGAGGGCCAATGAGGACAGGCGTGTGGCCTCACCTACCACCTGGGGCGGGGCCTCAGAGGTGTTCGCCTCCATCTCCTCCCCCAAACTGCCCATAGTGTATTTCCACCAACGGCTCCCTGGACACAACTTCGCGGTATGATGCCACAGGAGATACTCATCCAGGTCTGCAGCCAGAGACCACATGGAGACCCCTCCGCTTGGCTCGCCCTTCTTCCTTCCCTTTTTTTTGTGGTAGTACTGGAGATTGAACCCAGAGCCTTGAGCATATTGGGCAAGTGCTCCATCACTAGGCTACATCCCCAGCCCAGCCCCTTTTTAGGTTTTTTATTGTGAGACATGGTCTAGCTAAATCAGTCAGCTGCCCTCAACCTTGCAATCCTCCTGCCTCGGCCTCCTGAGTGGCTGGGATTACAGGCGCAGGTCACCAAACCTGGTTCCTTAGCTGTTTTTATAGGACAGTAAGTAAAGGTGGAAACAGTGTACTCTGGTACTAAGAAAAGGCTTGGGGCGCTGGGGGATTCCCAAAGGTGGCAGTGCAGGTCTACACAGAAGAAATGGCAGCCAAAGATGGCAGAGAAGCAACACCGCCAGCCTTGCCAGGGAAGCACATGCTGGCAACCGGATCCTGAGTGGGCATCGAGGATGGCTCGTCTCCCACCCTGGGGCCTAGGGGTACGCGTGCGCACGGGCTGTGCTCGTGCCCTCAGGCCCAGGTGCGTCTGCAAGAGCTAGAGCCCCCTTCTCACGGCTCCCATTCCCCAGGAGCGCAGGGAGCCGAGCCCGACAAGCACGGCCCCCCTCCCGTCCCGGTCTTTCTGCTGACAGGGAAAGAACAACACTGTCCACTTCCGGGACAAAGGCCATACAAGCCACCGAAACGCTCCATTTGCTCTCAAATGCATCCCCCGACCTTCCCCAGCGCAGGCCCAGAAAAGGCTCCCCGTTCTACTCTCGGCCGCCCCCGCTCCTCCTGACTCGCTCTAGGCCCTGACGCCCTTTTCCCGGTGAGAAGCCTCAGCCCTCCGGTCTGGGGACCGGGGCGTCTGCTGTCCCTGCCTCCCGGGACGATGAGCTTTGGGATGAGATCATGGCCATCACATGCTTCCCACTCCTTGGGGAGGCGATGGGGTTGGGTCGTCATCTAGCGTTTTCCTTGGCTCCAGCTACTCTCCGAGGGCCTCCGTCTGCGGCTGAGACGGACTCATCTTTGTTCAGTTACCACACCGGTGCCCGCCCCCCGGAGCTCACCAAAGAGAAGGGCGCGTCAGCATGAAGCTGACCCAGAGCAGGGGCTCTGATTTGGAAACAAACACCAAGCCCGTGTGCAAGCTGAGGAGTAGAGCCCCTCGCTCACAGCCGACAGGGAGCTTGGCTGGTAGAACTCGGAAGTGCATTCTGACTTCTGAAATTTGTGTACATGAGCCGAGCCACTGCGCCATCACGGGCACCGTGATGCCCAGGAACCCTAATAAATCAGAGCGGAAACTGAGGTGGGGGCTGTATTTCAGGAGCAGAAGATAAATAAATCTCCCCTCTTGGTTGCTGAACCCAAGGGAAACCAGCCGGGTTAAAACAAATGCTGATGAAGGAACTCAAGTGTTTTATTTTTGTTGTTGTTGTTGTTATTTTTTTTTCCAAGAGAGGACCGCAGGAAACAAAATTTGCAAAGAATTGACTTACAAACAGAGGGTCGCCTTCCACCCTCCGCCTTCAAAAGGCTTCAGCCAGATGCCTGGGAACACTAAACACACACGATTGCTCAATATTACTTGGTGACAAACTAAGAGCCTCGTCAAACTGAGTTAACCGACCTCAGTAGGAAACAAAGGGCCAGGCAGGCAGGCAGGCAGGCAGCACGCACGCGCCCTGGCCTGGTGGGCAGTCGATCCATCAGCGGGCCTCAGTGGTGCACTCTGAGTCCCAGAGGCCCATCCAAGTGGCGCCTGGTCCGGCCTCCCTAAGAGCCGAGGTCATCTGGGAGCTGGGCGGCCGTATAGCTGGAGCCCCCGGAGTTGAGGAATTACAATACGAGGGTAGGTGTAATGTCTTAAAATTTGTTTTTCTCCTGGAAAAAAAAATCAATGGGGGAAAAAAGTCCAATGGCAGAGGGAAGGGAGAGGAAGGGGAGATGGTTTGCAGTTTCCAAACACTCACTGCTGTGCTGCCGTCCCCTTCTCTGGGAAGGCTGCTTTCACTTGAGCCATTCAGGGGGGGAAAAAAAAGTAAGCATAAGACAGAGGCAGTTCGGTGAGTGACCATCTGCACCGTCCCTACCCCTCAGCAACCTGACTCCGAATCCCGGCAGGATCATGGCGACCTCAGCGGAGGAGAACAAGCACACAGCTCATCCTCCTGGGTGTAGCTCCTTCCGTGACTTCTAAGAATGGGGACCATTTCATCCAAGGGGGATGGAAATCCACAAGACCCGAAAGGCTTGGACCTTGGGGCCAGGGATCCTGCAGGGTGAGGCCACCCCCCCCCAGTGACAGCAAGGCGTGGCTCCCTAATGGCCGAGCACACAGGGTTCCCTGGTCTGGATGGACGCCCCCCCACCTACAGCCACAAAGGCAAATTCCTGTTCTCAGGCAAATTCACCCCGTGGGCCTGCGGGCTGCATTTTCCCCGCCCCACCTCTTGTATATTTGGTTTCCAAGCGAAGCCCCATTTTAGGACTCTCGGAAAAAAACTATTTTTAAATGGCCATAACCTTCTTAAGAGAGCTCCAGGGGATGCAAAGAATGAAGCTGTAGTGCGCTGACAAGGAGCCCTGGCACTTTATCTGCCTTCCAGGACTCTCTCCCCCTCGCCTTTTGTCTGCCTTGGCTTCTAAGACAGAAACAATCGGGCCTTGTAGCCAAGCCCCTCTCGAAAGACCAGAAATCAAAGCAGATTAAAACGCCTGCCAGCCACGGCCCCCAGGCAGCTCCTGCTTCGGGGAATCCAGCAGGGTCCCCAGTGGGAGCCGTGTGGGGAGGGGCTGGGCTCCTCAGGGAAGGATGGGGCCCAGGTACTCCGGGGAGCACAGGGGAGGGGACAGCTGCCAGCAAGTTGCCAGAGCCTTTGGAAATCCCTGCTGGGCTCTCCGGCTTTCGGGAATTGCCTGGAAAGTCTCGGCCGACTTCCGCTCTGGATGGCTCCATTTCTGTCCACACCCACTGGCCGGCTCACAAACAAACCGGCCTGTCCTTCAGGGCCGGCCAAAGAACAGCTGGCTGGAGCCCCAGACGCCACTTGACCCAGACTGAGAGATGACCACTCACATCCAGCAGGGCTTTTCTCCTGAGCAGCGCAGGGCGCACGCTCCAGGCCGGGGCTGGCCGGCCTTTCCAGGCGGGACAGGCGGGCAGACGGTGACAAAGTGGGGCAAGTCCACAAACCAAGGGCCTCAGGCCAGACCTGGGCACTGCCAGAAATATGCCCAAGCCCCCAAAGCACGCCTGACGCCCCCCTAGTGGTCTCCCGGGACCCAAGGTCAGGCCCCTCAGCACCCGGGACGTGAAAGGGGTCCGACACACAGCGTGGCCCGCGCTTTGACTCAGGCAAGCGACTCCATCAGAACTGCGGCCTGAAGAAAAGGTCAGGAAAGACGGACTCGGCCCAGAGCGGCCCTCTGTGAGATGCTCCTCTGGGGCAGAGCTCCGTCCCAGGCAAACCCAGGAGGAAACGGCACGGCGCACCCACGCAACAGCGTGGGGTTCAGGCGCAGAAGGGAGGAGCCCCCAGATCAAGATGCTGTGAGAGAGAAGCCGGACACGAAGGCCACGTCCTGCACCACCCCACTCTAGCGCACGCCCGGACACGGCCACTCCGCAGAGGGACCGCAGACGGGGCCGCGGGCACTGGGAGTGAAGGGCACAGGCTTCCTTCCCGGGAGGGGAAAACGCTCCGCAGTTAAGCTGGCGGCTCCACTAAAACCACTGCACTGTGCGCCTCGAATGGTAAACTTTATAAGATTTGAATGATATCTCAATTAAAATCCAGTAGCATTAAATATCTACACAAAGACAAAAAAGAGGAGGGAGGAGAAGAGGCAGGCTCTTTGCCCCAGGGCTCCAGTTTCTGACCCCTGAACCTGCCTCGGGCCTGGGCACACTTGGGCAAGCCCCAGCGTGGGAAAGGGAGGACAGGCTCCCAGCCTCGCGGGAGACTCTCAGAGGGGAGACGGTATCACTGTGGAGAGCCGGAGCCTCAGCCCCGGCAGGCACAGCCTGGCTCCCCTTTGCCAGGTCCTGGGGAAGGCACACAGAGACCTGGTCCTGGACCAATCGAGCCCTCCTTCCCGGCCCGCTGCCTGCAAACATCAGCACCAACAGCACAAGGCCCCGGCCCCCAGCCCCCAGCCCCCAGCCCCCTCTGCACACGAGAAGGAGAAGGCCTGGTTCCTGGTATCTCATGCTGCTTCCTCAACACGCTTCCTCTTCCACCAGGCGGTTTTGGCTGCCTCTGGCCTGGAGGCGAACACACACTTTGAGGCCGTGCGGGGCGAGCTCTGGTGGGGGTCCCCCTCACCCCCTCCCTGCAGATCCAGGGCTAAGGCCCAGCCTGAGGCAGAGCGGGAGGGAGGGGGACTGCAGTGGCCGGCACCGCGCCGGGAGAGAAGGAGCCTCCTTACCCGGGTCCTGTCCTCGATCTCGTGGATCCGCAGCTGCATGGGCACGTTAAAACTGTGCAGGATGTTTCCGCCGAACACCAGGGAGTCCACGGGGGTGTAGACGGCGTGGATCCAACCTGGGGGCGGGCAAAGGGAGGGTAAGCCGCCGGCCTGGGGCCCCGACACACCAGGCCAGGCTGAGGGAAAGGGTGCGCAGGAGGGCGCAGGGAACTGGGGCGCAGGGTGCCACAGGCAGAAAGCCCCCTCGGCTGGCCTGGAGGACTCAGGCCACCATCTCCCTGTGGCCCCCCGAGAACTCCAACAGGGCAACGGGAAGCTGCAGAGCCCCACCCTGAGCACTGGGGACGACCGAGCCCTCCCCCTGGACCTGGCTGCAGCCACCGATGGAGAAACAGGTCCTGTTCCTGGCCCCCACGCTGGCCGGGGAGCTGGGAACCCCCTCCCCGTCCAGACACCCCTCGCCACACCCCTGAGAGTAGCGGGCGGTGTGGGGGGCGGTCACAAAGGCCGCTGCAGAGCTATGAATAAGGTGTGCCATCTCGATCTCCCAAGATGCACAGGGCCCAACTCCTGCCACCAGCCCCCCCACACCCGCCCCCAGGAGGTCACCTTAGCCACACGACGGCTGCGTCCCACTTGGCTCTGCACCCACTCGGCCACACAGGCCAAGGCGACGGCCGGCCTCTCCCTTACACACCGTGGCTTCTCCAAAGCAGGGGCCACGATCTCCCTCTCCCCGGGATCGCAGGCCACAGCCCAGCGCAGGCATGAGGGAAGGGTGCTGGGGCCCTTGAGCCAAAACATTCCGAGGGCTCGCCAGGGCTCAGCTCACTGATCCTCCCAGGAGCCCTAAAAGGATGTATTCACTCCAGCCCCAGGCAGACGCGGGAACTGAGGCACAAACAAGCGAGTCGCCTATCAGGACTCCGGCCCGAGGGAAGGGACAAAGAGCCTCCTCCCTCATTTAGTCAGAACCACCCGCCTCAGCTCGGACCTAAGCACCTGAGCGACCCGCAGGGCTCCTGGCTGCCGCACAGGACCCAGAGCTGGGGACAGCGAGCTCGGGACCAACTCCGACGCACAGCTGCAAACGCGAGGCTTCAAGGAGGTGCGCCCCGCGCGCGCGAGAGCAAGCCGAGCTTGGCAAGGCAAGCAGCTCCGTTTTTAGCTGTGACTGAACTGCCCCAGCATCCCGGGGGACAAGCACGAACACACGGGAGGCAAAAAGAGAAACATGATGAGAAATACGGGGCAGAGGCAAAGCAAGGACAGAGAACTCGCGCTAAAGGAGAGGAGGGCTGGCCAGCGGGGAGGAGGCAGAGACGGCAGGAGGCGCAGGGGACGCTGAGCCTCTTCTCCCGCCGGCATCTAACTGTGCAGGAGGGAAGGCGGCAGAGGCGCAGCCCACCTCCCCAGCAGAGCGGTTCCAGCCTCCTCCCCCGGGAGAGCCGAGACACGCCAGGCCTGTGCTGCGGGCGGCCACCGGGAAGAGCACGGAGGCCACCAGACGACTGCCGGACGCCCAGCCGCTGGCCTCCCCACACTGGGCAGAGCCGGCCGTCCTCAGGGGACAGCGAGGGAGACATGGTGACCAGAGCCCGCCGCCTGCAGGCAGGAACACAGGCTTTGCTTTTTTAAGCTCATCCTGCTTTGCACTCCGCAGCACCCGGCTTGGGCCATCAGAGGCCACTGTGAGCGCAGAACGTGCAGCCACCTGGGCAAAAAGACAACGGCTGCCGCCTTTGAAGGGTGTCAGCTTCCCCTCGCCTCTGCTGCCAGCAGGCTCAGCCGCTCCAAACCGCACTTCTGCCTCCACCGAGCACGGCTCCGCTGTCTGTCACCGTGCGGTCATTACCACGTCGGCACCATTCAGCAACCCTTCCCGGGACGGCTGGGGCCGCCAGGGTCTCCTGCCCCTGGCCTCGTCCTTCTTCCCGCGCCCACCACCCCGTCCGCACGCAGCCCGAGCCCAAGGGCCCAGCTTCCAGACGGTCCCCAGCGCTGATGGCCAGGAGCAGGGAGCACGCGAGCGTCCCCTCTCGCGGCCACAGTGTGTCCGCCTGGCGTGAAGGAGACCACTCCCTCCCTGTGGGGGCTTGGTCAGCAAGAACTCCAGCGATTCCAGCCACGGCCCCTGAGAGCTGCAGCGGTCCCACGGTCACGAGAGTTTGGGGAAGCACAGTGCCCCACGATCCCACATTCGTCCCCTCCCTGCTCTCCTGGCGTGTCGCCACCGCACAGGCACATCTGCCTTCCACCTGTCACCCCGCGTGTGGGCAGAGAGGAGAACGAGGAGAGCTGCTCTTGGGAGCAGGATCAGGGGAACCACGTGTGCAGACGTTAGAGGGCTTCTAGAAGCTTCTCCCTCCGTCCTCCCTGCCACAGGGCCGCACCGGTGGGTTGGGCAGCCTTCCCGAACGGCTGACCTGGGCTCTCACGCCCAACACTGCACTCAGGAAGACCAGGTAGGGCCACCAGGGCGTCCACACGTCCCACCAAGTGTCCCCAGGCCACAGCCATTGGCAATAAGAAAGCAACACACAGAGGCTATTCAAGGCAGACACAGAGGGACAGATACGGACACAGAAGGAGGGCGATGACACACACAGCCTCCTGCCGAAGCGATCTCTGGGACCCCAGGGCCGAGGGCAGTGGAGGCACCCGGAGTCTCACCGGTAACCCAGACGCTGAGGATTCTGAGTCCAGGGAGGACCGCGTCTAGACTCCAACTCAGGACCTTGCACTTGCCAGGCAGGCGCTGTGCCGCTGAGCTACATCCCTGGCCCTGCGCTGGCCTCCTTCGTGAGCACCCTCCCGCCCTGCACCAGCCAGGCGGGGCGGGCCCCAGGGCCAGGGGCAGAAGCAAGGACGGCTCTCTCTGCAGGACTCGCCCAAACCAGCAAACCGTGGGGCTGTCCCAGATCCCGGGGCGTGTTTGGTTTGACCCACCGCATGGTACAAAATGGAGAATTTTCTCCCAAAGTCACACGGGCAGGAAGAGGGACAAAGGCCAGCTCACCTGAATCCCAGGCTAATGGAACCAGAGGGTGGGCTAGGAAAGCGGCTCTGAAACCAGGCACCTGGTTCTCCCTCTGCCGTGTCACTCACTCACTGAGGGTGGGAACATAGGTGTCAGGTACCACCTTTTCTTTGAGATAGGGTCTCAAAATGTATGTAGTTCAGGCTGGCCTTGAACTCACTATGTACTCTAGGCTGGCCTCGATCTCCCAGAAGTCCTCCTGCCTCAGCCTCCCCAGTGCTGAGATTATAGGGGTGCGCCCAGCTTCCACCATTCTTTTTGAAAGAGTAGAGGGGGTGCTGGGGATTTAGCTCAGCGGCAAAGGGGCTGCCTGGCAAGCGCAAGGTCATGAGTTTGATTCCTGGTACCGGAAGAAAAGACAAAAGACAAGAAATAAATAAATAAATAAATAAATAAAAGAGCAGAGGGGACGTTAAGCTCTTCCTCACATGCGCGCAAGGAAGATAAACGACCTGTGCACGATGTTTACTGTAGCTCATCTGAACTGGCACAGCCAGGGGCAAGACTGAGCCTACAAATGTGGTCAGGACATTGGAAGAAAAAGGTGCCACCTGGTTTATCCAGGTTCCTAAAGTCCCCAACTTGACATGACTTCCTCCTCCAGCTGTCCTTGCCAGGCTGAAACCCAGCACGCCCTGGAACTCGATGCTCTGACCCTGACTCCCACTTCCTCTGCTGCACTACGGGCTGGCCAGCTCAGTGGGACAAACCCAGGGCCCTATTTCCAGTCACCCTACTCCTTGGTCACCTCCAGCAGTTTTCCTCTGCCACACGCCTTTCCTACACTTTCCAAAACCAAGGCCTGAAGAACCACCAGCCCCGAACCACAGCCCTTTCGCCTTCACAGGCAAGGAGAAAAAAGTTAAGCAATATCTCACAAAAATATTCTGTAATTTTTTTTTTTTTTTTTTTTTTTTTTTTAGGCAGGGTCTCACTGTGTAACCCTGGCTAGCCTTAAACTCCCAGAGATCCTCCTGCCTCAGCCTCCCAAGTGCTGGGATTATAGGCGTCCACCACCACACCCGGTAAATATCGTGTAATTTAAATCTTCCTAACCCACTAACTTCCCATGAGCTTTCAGAGACCTGCCAAAGACTCTCTGAGTGACAGATGGGGAGATCTGACAGCAGCGCGAAGTAGGAGGAGATGTGTCAAAGTCACACCAGGGGAATGAGAACCCAGGTCTGAGGTGGGAAACACTAGCATTAGATCCTCTGACGTAAAAACTCACTGGGCAGCTACAAATCCTTCCTGGCTTCCTCAAGGCTCTCTCTCTACCCAAAGCCTCCAGCCACCTGCCACCAATCACACATATCAGGAGGGCCTTCGCCCCTGCTCAGAGGGTGTGGATGCCAGAGAGGACCCCCAAGTCCCTCAGAAGACCTAAAATATTTATAGAGGTCTGTGGAATCCAAAGCTCCAGGCTTTTAGTTTTCACTGGTTAGCAACGGAACGAGAAAAATAAACACCGGGGGTAGCTTTTCATAAACTCAAAACTACCCATGGCAGTGGCACACATCTGTAAACCCAGCACTTGGGAAGCTAAGGCAGGAGGATCACTGCAAATTCAAGGCCAGCCTGTGCTACCTAGTGAGTTCAAGGCCAGCCTGTACCACATACATTTTTGAGACCCTGTCCAAAAACAAAACAAAATAAAACAAAAACCTCCAATCCAAAGGAAAGGAAGAAGCGAGGGAGGGAAGAAGAAAAACCTGTCCTTTACTCTGAAGTTTATTTCTGCCAGGGATATAGCTCAGCGGCACAGTTTGGGCCAGGCAAGTACGACGTCCTAGGTTCGATTCCAGGTACCCAAAAAGAAAGCACAGGTTAAGTGTTTTCAAGTATTGGAAAGAGGAAAAAAAGGGAAGGAAGGAAAATCCGAAAGCATCAGGTCCAGAAAAAAATCCTATCTACACAGAACATCCACAGACTGTTTTATCATTCCCTAAATACAGTACAGGTAGTTACACGGGATTTGCTTGCAATAAGTGTTTCAAGTCACAACGAGATGGGCACTGGAAACACTGGGGTGCAGGAACCCACCTCCTGGGGTACAAGGCACAGCTGCGCACCCAAATGTCCTATCAGGTCAGTCATCAAAGAGCAGTGCTAAGCGATGGGGTTTTTTCTCAGTTCTTGTTTGTTTTGTGGTATCTACCACGAAGTTACATCCCCGCCTCTTGTTTGTAATGACTGTCTTCAACAGAATTATACACTTTGTTTGTTTTTTGAGACAGGGTCTCGCTCTGTAGGTCAGGCTGGCCTTGAGCTCACTGTGGTAGCCCAGGCTGGCCTCAAATTTGCAGTGATCCGCCTGCCTCAGCCTCCCAAGTGCTGGGATTATAGCCGTGCACCACCATGCCCGGCTCAAAATTCTATGTTGCAGCTCTATCTGTTCCCAACTCTTTTTCAACATGGGGCTGGGGCTGGGGATTTAGCTCACTGGCGCAGCGCCTGCCTGGCAAGCACAAGGTTGTGAGTTCAATTCCCGGTACCAGAAAACAAAAAAAAAAAAAAAAGAGAAACATGGGGCTGGGGCACAGCTCTGTGGCGAAACACTTTGAGGCTGCGTCCCAAGACCCTCACCAACTTGCTCAGGTCACCAGAGCCACCACCCCTCCCAGCTGTGCGCAGGGCCCTATGAAAGGGACCGAGGCTTGTCCCCAGGGGTCAGCGGTGCAAGGTCAGGGCTGGAGGACCTGAAGGGCTGCAAACCTCAGCCCCAGCCCACCCCCAGTGTAGAGATAGCAACTGAGGTGCAGAGAGGAACAGATCACCCAAGCTGCAGAAAGCCAGCAGCAGCCCTGCCCCGCAAACACCAGTGGGGCGGGACCGTGCATCGGAGCCCCCGCCCCCAGCCTCTGCACCACACCGTGAGCGTCCACACACACTGCCACCAAGTCCCTCTGGCCGAAGCAGGGGTCCTCAGCCCAACTACACCGTCCACCTGCAAAGCCTAAATCTTCCTAACAGGACAGCGTGTCCTCTGCCCCCCTTTGTAGAAGAGCCCTGAGGTGCAGACGAGGCCATGGTGAGACCTGCTACCACAGCCACGCCTTCCACGGACATCACGCGACACGCCCAGACCCAAGGCCAACGCTCAGAAGCCTCAGTGCAGCAGCCTCTCCATCCAAAGGACCTTGGTGGCCTCAAAGTCCAAGCTTCCACCCAGGGCAGGTTCTCTAAAACTGCACCCGTATCTAGCTTCTGCTTGTATACCTCCAGTGATGAGCAGCTTACTACCTACAGAGCAAGGCACTCCGATGCCACCTGGGTCGACGATTTTCAACCCAGCTAACTGCAGCCACCACCCATCTCCTTAGCACACACTAGCCCAGGGTCAGCTGGCCCTCCAAAGTATAAAACAAGTAAGAGTTATACAATTCCCACGCGTGGCCTAACCCCTTTGTGCTCTAGATAGCAGGACTGTCAAATCTCTCATCCTAGGAAGAATGGTTCCATTAACATTGCCTAAGCCCAACCTCCCAGCCTCCTGTATCATTGGCTACATCCACAAGTGACTCAACCTGTAACCCTGGAAGTCTTACTCGAAGTTTACAGAAAAGAGCATTCCATGGTCATGAGTTCAATTCCTGGTACCAAGAAAGAAAGAAAAAAAAAAAAAGAAGTGAAAGGAGCACTTGCTGGGCTTGGTGGCAGATGTCGATCAGTAATCCCAGCGTTCAGGAGGCTGAGGCAGAAAGACCTCTTCAAGTTCAAGGCTAACCTGAGCTACATAGTAGCTTGCCTTGCATGCACAAGGCCCTGTAACACACACACACAACTTTAAAAAAAAAACAAAACTGAGGCATAGAGAGGTAAAGTCACAGCTCATAAACAACGAAGCCAGAAGTCCAAATGACACTGCTCACTGCCCTACTTGAGTCCTTGGGGTACATGTACACGCCTCACCCCCTGTACCCAAAGAACCCCATCAGCATCTCACACAGAAATCCAGGAGGATGTTCTGGGGGAGGAAGTCTTGGGGAAGACTTTGGAACTCCCTAGAGAGAGTCTGAGGCTTTGTCCAAGAGCCAGGCATGGAGCTGAACTTTCTACCCCAGCGCTCCCCAGGGGCTCCGCCCATGGGCAGTCCAACCGGCCTGGCCCACAGGTACCCTCACTTGACCCCAAAGCGCTCCCTCGGCCACAGGGCCACAGGACACTGCCCCAAGGGAGGGGAACCAGGGGCCAAGCAAAGCCCCGAGCAGTCACGCAGAACCTACCGGAGGGGATGAAGAACGTGTGGCCCTGTTTCAGCTCAATTCTTTGGCATCGCTCCACGCGGTCTCCCAGAAAGATGTCACTCTGCTTGCCTGACAGCACCCACTCTTCATACAGCGCCAAGTTGTGCAGGGTTGGCGGGATCAACCAGAAGATCTAAGGAGAACGAGGAGGTGGTCAGCCAGTCCTGGACCTCCTCCAGGCCCGACACGACCAGAGGCAGCCCCACCTGCCTGGGCAGGGAGCAGACAAAATCGGAGAACCCATCGCCCAGGGCCCCCTTGGCCAGGCCAAAGGGGGGGCAGGAAGGGCTCCACCCCCAGCAGGGAATCTCCACGCCACGGGAATAGCAGGGGAGGCAAACTTCCTGCCCCCTGGAACATTCTTTTGCCTGAGCCAGAGGCTTCTATGGGACTCGGGAAGGAGAGGACGGGAACTTCCTAAGCTGAATGATGAAATGGCCCAATAAATAAACTCAGCGTGCGCTCACTCTGGAGAAGGAGGAAAAACATCTGGAATCAAGGAGGTTGACTCCGTCTCAGAACCTCTCCGACACATTTGGTTCAAACAAGCGCACATACACGTAGGTCCAGGCAGGGCGGCTGGCACAGGGGCGCTTTCGGAAAGAACCCACACCTATGCAGGGACACCTACATCCCCACAGGCACACGCTTCAGGAGCACCCTGAACGCGCATGCGCACCCAGCCGCCGCCCTCCTCCCTTCTCGGGCGAGTCCTGTGTATGCGCTCGTGGAGGCAGGCGGCGCTGGCAACTGGACTTCACAGTTAAAGGTCCCAATGCCAGCTCTGAGATGACAGCAAGGGGCAATGCATGCAGCCAGGCTGAGCTTCAAAGAGCTCTAAGGGGCTCAGAACCCTGCACTGGACACTGGGCAGCACTAGGTAGGCTGATGTGATGCCAAACAGTTGACCTTGACCTTTGCTCCCGGAAGGAGGTAGATACGCAGGAGGGGGTCCCCAGGGATGGAGAGGCCTGAGGGGTAGGGGTGGCTGGAGGAGGAGGGAGAGGACGGGGAGCCCCCTCCAAGCACGAAGGACCAGAAAAGCAACGGAAGCTGGAGATTCAGCTGCAACTCACCTTCCCACCCCGGAACACATGGTACCACACGGAGGTGCCTCCAAAGTCGATGTGAAAGTCAGTGAAACAGCCCTTCACGCTCATCAGACAGTACCTGCAGCGGAGAAGCGGGAGGGGCGCGGGAGCAGGTCAGGAAGGAACCCCCGAGCGGGGCAAACCCTCCGCGCCGCCTGACCCAGTGGCCTTTTATAAACCGTGACGCTGGGGGATTTTCTTTTTCTAAAAATCCAAATCTGATCGGAGTTCCCCTCGAAGGGGATGTCCCCGTGGTCAGGTGAAAATTTCAAGAAGCTGGGCCACTTGTGTTTTTGGATTCCCAAAAGTAGCAACCAACAGGTCACTGAGTTCCTTTCTCCCCCCCGCCCCCGCCCCCCAACCCAGAGACTTTCTCTCTGCTCCTTCACAGCGCTGATACCTGCAGCTCCCCCAGGCTGCCAGGCCCCTCTGGAGCAGCTGGGCCCCCTGGAATTCAGCTGTGAGCCACCTGTGTAGCTTGCCAATTACCCAGTCAGCTCAGTCACTCAACCAGAGGTCCAGAACTAGGCACAGTGGTAAGACAAATAAATGCAGGCCACGCATGAGACCCACCCCCACCCCACCCCCACCCCACCCCCACACTGGCCCATGAGACCCTCAGTAAAAGTTGAGTGACAAGACGATCCGCAATCAGTCACCAAGTAACCAGCAGGGCCAAAGGGGTGCCAGTCCCAGAAGACCACATAGCGTAAGAATCCACCTATATAAAACGTCCAGGTCCATGGAGGCAGCAGGGGCTGGGGTGGGGGGTGGCAGCCACGCTAAGGAGTACAGAGATTCTTCTGGGGCAACAGAAACGTCCTGGAGACTGTGGCTGCACCACTCTGGGTGTACGAAAACCCACCGATCGCACACTTTCCACAGGTGAACGATATGGGAATTACACCGCAATCAAGCTGCCAAAAGTGAGGGGATTAAGCGGAGGGCAGGGAGCGCTGCCGGGCAGGGACGGGAGCGGCCGGCGTGCAGGGGGACTGGGGAGGAGGGACCCCAGCAGCTCCCCTCCCTTCTGAGCACCAGCGGGAGCTAGAGCCCCGCCCCCCCCCGCTGGAACACAGTGCCCCCTCCCCCCTCTGGTGCTGCCCTCCTTGCAGTGGGCAGAGCTTGAGGAGGGGGCACGGAGCAGGCTTCCAAGTCCAGGCCTGGCAGACAGCGGTCGCAGGCCCCCTACACGCACACACTCACCCCCTCCGAGCGCCCCGGGCGGCGCAGACCGGGCGGCCTCCCCGCAGCTCATGCCCATGCCCCCTGGCACCTCCAAGGCCCGCGCGCACGCTTACCCACTGACCTCTTTTCCCTGCTGCACTTTGCCTTTCCGCGGTTTGGGGAAGAGGGGAGGGATGGGGCGGGGACGGGGGGAGGAGCCCGCGGAGTGGAGAGAATGGGGGCGGGCGCGGGGCTGAGCCCGGCGGAAGGCTGGCTGGAAGGCGGGCCCCCTCCCTCCGGCTGCCTTGTGCACCTTGCGTTCAGGTGGACCCGGGGCTCGGCAGTATGCAGGCAGCGTGCCCCAGTCCCTCCTCCCGATAGGCTGGGAGAAGCCTTAACCATGTGTCTGCAGGAGGCTGACAAATCAGAAGGCCTTCCCGCACATCAGAGCCCTGCTGCCTAGCAACCCCATCGGAGGGGTGTAGTTGACAGCCCAGGACGCAGGCTGTCACGAAGCTGGCACAGGGGCCGCTGAAGTCCTGACTCCGGCTCCACGCCCTCCCCGCCGCCCGCCCTGGGCCGGCCCGTTGGGTTCCCAGACTGAAGGCCTGGGATAGCCTCCTCCAAGGAATTGGGGGTCCTGAGCCCTCACCACCCCACCCCCAAGGACCACACCGGCCTGTTCTCTCTCAGCACCACTTCAAAATATTAGTCCCCATTTTCGTATAACCACCTCTGTCTTGACTTGTTTTTTTCTTTTCCTTTTTTAATCTAACCTTGGTTTCCACCCCCTCCAGGCCTCTGCTGAACACAGCCTAGGGTAAACAATTTCAGTGTGTGTGGGGTGGAGCCAGAAGGGCTTCCTCCAGCCTGCAGCTGGATGCCCGCTGGGTACCCACGGGAGAGGGGACTGCAGGGGAGCGTGGCGGCCTGACCAAACTGCTCACTGTCACGGAGCCCACCTCAGCCCCACTCCATCTCCCCACACGTGGAAACCAGGACCCCCGAGCTGCTGTGTGCTGGGAAAGTTCTCCAAGTTGCCCTGTTTCTGATCTGCCCTCGGGTCACCCTCCATCATCCCCAGAGGCCCCTGGGGGCCCGGGGAAGCCACTTCTAGAGGTGCCTCTCCAGAAGTGGCCCCTCCTTCCGGCGTCCCTCATTTCCTGGCCGCCAGGCCTGGGCTGCCCCTCCCACCCAGCGATTGATTGCAGGCTTTCGGGCAGCCAGGGTGGCCGTGACAGGGCGGCTTTGTCCCAGTCCCTGCAGCCGGCAGGCCACCCCAGGCTCCCGCCGCGCTGTCTGGGGCTCTCCCTCGGCTCCTGCCCGCTCTGGCGTGACGCCTTTGCACTGACCTCTACAGCTTCCTCTTCCCAAGCACACCGCAGTCACATGGGCACCCCGGCTCCGTGCCACGGCCGCTAAGCGCTCCCCGCCAACCGCCCCCCACGCCAGCCCGGCTTCTGCAGCGGCCTGGGGCCCCTGCCCGGACCCCCGCGCCATCCACCGCCCTCGGCCCAGGTGGCGTCTGCGTAGGAGGGCAGCCTCCAAGTTGTCGGCTAGAGACGAGGGCTGCCCGCTGAGCCCCAGAGGGGTTCCCGCCCTCCAAAGCCGGGCTGGCTGCGAGGAGCGGGATAGGAGGGGGCGCTGCACCTGCGCCACCAACTTTGGGGCGCTGCCTGGGGTCGGCGGAGGCGGGGCAGCCCCACCCCTCCATTTCTCTCCAACTTAGAGAAACTACCCCGGGCGGCCCAGCCGGCGTCCCCTCGGGCAAAGGTCCTGCAGGGCCCCCCTCCCCCAAAAGCTGACACCCGGCGGCGTGGCGGGCTGGGTGCTCGGCGCGGGCGCGAACGCACAGCCTCCACGCCGCCACCCGCCCGGGGACACAAAGAGCTGCTCGGCGACGCCGGCCGGCAGTGCGGGTGGGCCTAGGGTAAACCCGCGCGCCACGGAGAGCCCGC